CTGAAGCGCTTTTACCTTCTTTCTCCATTCAGCACGTACGAGCTGCGGAAGAAGCCCAGGAGCTCGTGCTCAATGTGCGCGTGAAAAGTGATGTTGATCTTGTAAGTTCTGAGGGGCTTCATCTCTCTGTGCAGCTCGATCACAAACACCTGCTTGGGCTGGTAGTGGAAGCGGCGCTGGATCCTCATGGCGCCCGCTTTCTTGCTGTCCGAATACACCAGCACCTTGTCCACCTCCAGCCGGTCCGTGTGCAGCACAATCAGCTTCGTGGAGTGGACGCACTCGAACTGAATGTGCACCTCGCCGGAGAAGGTGAAGTTCTCCATGGACACGGACAGGCGGAGGTCGTAGTGGCGCGGGCGCAGGGTGGCCGGTAAGCGCAGGTGTCTCCAGGGCTGCTGGCCGTCCTCTGAGTCTCTGTGACTGATGTTAGCGTCCCGGGACTGTTTCCACTTACTGTTGCTGGAGCCGTTCGCGGCCAGAGCCCCGCTGCTCTCCGCGGCGCATCTCTCGAAGCTGACGCTGAGCGTGATGGCGATGGCCGTGACGATGATGAGGGTGAGGATGGAGATGGCGAAGCCCAGCACAAGTCTCTTATTCACCGTGATGTGCTGCTCGGTCGTCCGGGGCCGCACCACCACGCTGTCGGCCCACTGATCAGACAGAGCCCGTCCGTTCCTCATGCTCGCGTCCTCGATCCCCATTATATGACGGATCTGATGTGTTTTATATTCATGATCAGCCTCCGTTCACGCGATGCAGCTTCAAACTGCGGTGGATGAACCGGCGGACTGATTTAAAGGCAAAAAAATCGGCGAAGATCCCGCGAAACGCGCAAAGCTTCGAAGAGAACGAACGAACTGATGATCGATGACGTCGAGACTAGATTCGCTCGTATCAGAAGTTCGTTTGGTCAGATGCTGGAGCTCATCGAGTCCCGCCGCACATCCATCTCTGCTCTGACATCAGTCTGATGTGGATGAAGGTCCAGCACCTGCTTCCTGATCAATCGCGAGAGTGTTGTGAATCTCTCTTTTCTGCCTCCATCCTCACTGTTTCTCTCTCTGTCTCTCTGATGCTCCTCTCTCTCTTAGCCAGTGGGCTGTGCGCTCT